TCGGCTATGAGTTCTGGTCCACGACTTGAGGCTAGGAATCCTCAGCAACGACTGACTGTCCGGCGAGCGAATTCGCCGTTTACTCAAGAGGGTTGTTTTTCAGGAACGAACGCGCGATGAGAGCTGAATCGCTATTCGTCCGTATGGTCACATCACGCGTTATAACAGCCGTTTCCGTGCTTCGACAAATAAGGGAGCACTCTCGTAACGCGTGATCGCGATCGATGGACTGCAAGGGCGCGGGGATCGCGGGGAACGTATGTTTCGAACAAGTTCGACAGAGCTCGAACAACATAAACATCGGTATTTCTCGATGTTAAATATAATAATGTTTTCGAGCCGATGTTTCGCGTAGGAAAGTTCGACGGATCTCGAACAACTAATTTTCACGTACCTAACTAGAAATTTTTCTCTGACAAATTACCAATTTTTTAAGTAATGCGTAATTCACTTCTACCTAAATATTATTAATTTTTACGTAATTAGTAATTTTTTGTAACTAATTATTATAATTTGCTAATTTAATAAAACTTTAGGTAAATATGTAGAATAACGGCACGCTCTCTGATTCCTTTGAAATTTTCAAATTTTGTGTATTTTGGGTAGTAAAAAACATTCTCAGAAGGAAAATTGTTGCTCATGTTCGGTTTGTTTATAATTAATACTTAAAATATTACAATGTCGGTAAGTAAAGAAATAATAATTTATGAATATACATTTCGCTTCTTACTATTAAATCATATGTTATTTACAACCTTATTCAATTATATATTTTAAAATTACAATCTATGTATGTTAAAGCAGAGAATAGTAGAAAGCGTAAATACAGGGTATTCTCTACTGTAACCAAAAGCACAAACTGTTGTCTGCTTTAATTGTGATCCTTTAAATTTTCGTCTCAAAACATTTTTCAAATAAAAAGCCATGTATTTGTATTACCAATTACATCTTGAACTGTAAGCAAAGACTGTTATTAATTTGTTTTACTGAATATAATATATCGAACAACTATATTGAAGTTGTAAATAACATAATATGATCTAATTGAAATAAGAAGCAAAATATATATCCATAAATTATCGTTTCAATTATTATTTCTTTACTTACTAACATCGTCATCTTAAGTATTAATTAGAAACAAACAGAACATGAGCGATAATTCCCCCCCCCCCGTTCTCAGAATCTTTTTTTACTACACAAAATACACAAAATTTGTAAATTTTAAAGGAAATTGATCGAAGAGGGTACTATTATATAATATATATATTTACCAAAATTTATTTTGTTATTGCTAATTTCGTGAATAATTAATATTTCCAGACACCATGATATAAAATCAACGTCTATCATAATAATGGATAATAATGTACTCGATTCAACTAATTAGCATAATTGCCTACTGTTACGTACGGAAATTTTATCCTAAAATTTCGGACAACACACGTTGAAATTTTTGAACGCTTTTTAGACGACGCACGCTAGCTCGGAATTCCGAGCGAACGCTCAGATCAATACAAATGTTTGTTTTATCCTACGGTTATCGGACGGCCGTTGGTAGGCTGGGAACCAGATGGAGCTCAAAAAAACTACGTTTCTAGAAACTTCTAGAAAACCTCCCCCCTTAAGACACGTAGGAAGTGGTGAGAATCTTGTGCAGGAAGTTCTGGCTATTTTCGGGTATAAAAAGGGCGGAGAACGCCGCGGAGCGACACATCGTTTTTGGCTTCGGCTTTGTTAGTCACATAGTTTTAGACTTCGGCTCTGTTACTTAAATCATTTTTCTAACTCTTATTCAATTCCAGACAGTCACTTTCCGACATTCGACTATACGTTCAAGTCTGAGCATTTGCGCTCGATTCTGGGACTTAATCCCTGTACTCTTATACTTTAAGACCGCGCTTCACGCATAACTCAGTTTGTACTAAATACTAAGATCTAAAGAATAAAGGTAAGATAAGTTTGAAAAAGGGAATAAGCTTGAAATCTGGGATCTCATCTCGTATTAAAATTCTTAATCAATCACTCCTGAGTTTCGACTCACAGTTTTCGCTGACAAAGAGCGTGGCGATCTGTCCTGGGCGCTGACGAAGAGTATGGCAAACTGGTACTTTCGCTGCCGAAAGGCGTGACCATTACGGGGTTGCAGATTCTTAGAAATCGTAATAATCGTTATTAATTCTCAAAAGTAAATTTGGCCTTTATGCTGACGAAGAGTGTGGCGGTTTGGCTTTGAGCGCTGACGAAGAGTGTGGCGATCGAGCTTTAAAATTTATTTTTGAGAACTCAGGCTAAATTACGAAAAAAAGAGGTAGACAAGTTCAAATCAAACAAATTAGGTTCCAGATCAAACAAGCTATTACTTCTAATCAAGATCCTCTCCCTCTCCTCCAGGAATTGCAACAACTAGAAAACGCACCATTTAAACCTATTCCTGTCGATTTCGACATTGATTATCCTAATTACAATCAGATAGATAAAAGTGATCCTTGTTACGAAACTTATAGACTCCGATATCTTTTCGGCCCCGAGCGATAATAATAATAATAATAATAACTTTCACACGACTTGTTCAAATCCCTGGTAAATTGCTTAAATGCATTGACCAAAAAACGAACAAACAACAGACAGAACGTGACACTACAATACAAATTGCGCTACAGATCACTTTCTCGTTCTCTTCAACTTTTACAATTTACAATACAGCATATGCGTACTACATACATACATGTGCAATTTTGGATACACTTTCCTTCTTAAAGATCTTCTCGATCCTTCTTAAAGATCTCCTCGGAATCCCTGCGATCAATATATATTGATGATCACTATCTGTCACGACGGTCACGACTGTCACTACACTAGATAAATCCGACCCGCTGATATTTCGCTTCTTGTAACGCCCATCTTAATATCGTGACACTTCGATCCTTGCATGACGCGAACGAAATTCGGAATTAAACGATCGGTATTTAACGATAAGAGACCAGTGTTGCACGATATATATTTCTAAGTTATAACTGACTGACAGAACGCTGAACACTCTGTCTGCACTGAGCGTACACGCACACGAGGTACACGTACATATATGCTGTCTTTTTTTAAACACTCGAGGTATCTCAAAAACGCCATCTATCGATGCAAAAGCAACCGTACGTACGGCGACGACGACGACGACGACGACGGCGTTTCTTAATTGTAAAATTTAACATTTCAGACTTTGCGTCGCAATATCTCTGCTCGTAGGGCACGTAGCGAAAAAAATACTTTTATTACATAATTCAAACCCAAGCTATCGATCAAGCCTACTTAGAATTTGATCCGTTCACTTGTTATTGAGATCTCAAAATCTCGGGTACTTGTAACTCGTGCGTTCGCGTAAATAAAAAAAAGAGTCACGGCGGTCTTGCGCTGCGCGTGTACTTGACGCGAGACACTACCGTGTCTCTTGATGTATACAAATTTGATACTTGATACAAGTCTGTTATTTTCTCTGTTATCGTTCACATTTGCGGCACTAAATTTGCATATAAATTTTTAACGGAACACACGAAAAAGTACACGAAAGGTTTAATTAGCGGTAACAGAGATGTTATGACACTTCCACTGCGTTTTCTTTGAATATGTACGGCTATTAGACGGCTTTAGATATGTACGGCTATTAACTTGTGTTGAACTTGTGTTAGTACAGTGACAGACTGTACTAACTGTGCAGACTATACAAACTGTGCGTCCGACTACCACGGTGCTAACCTGAATTATGAATAAACCTTATCCTAATTGTTTATATGCTCTATTTTAATCTTTTTATGAATGAAAATTGCATTTATTACCCGAAACGATATATTATACACTTGAAAGAAACTTTATCGATGGAAAATATTGATACAAAATTTCAAGAGGCTCAAAAATTTACTTTATTGCTACTACTAAATCAGTTTTTTTTATTTTTTTAACTGTAATATTATTTTGATTTTAATGAAACTCGGGGAAAAATATCTATGTTCTAAAAGAACTATTTCACGATTTTGTATTCACTATTCCTCTCAAGATAAGTACTGAAAAAAAGTACAGCCTTGCAGCAATATCCCTGAAGCCATTTAGCCCCAGTCTCTCCTAACGGCTGAACAGATGTTTTTTTAGTTTTCGATGTCAATGTGTTTAGAATGTTCTAAAACGTAGGAAAATTGCATTGAAAAGAAATGTCCGTGTGCGTGTGCGTGTGCGTGTGCGTGTGCGTGTGCGTATGCGTGTGCGTTTGCGTGTGCGTATGCGTGTGCGTGTGCGTGTGCGTGTGCGTGTGCGTGTGTGTGTGTGTTAATTTTATGTAATATGAAATAAAACATAATTATAAACAATTAACAATATACAGATTCATAAGTTCTATATTTATTTATAATATAATGCACATATAATTTAATTGATAAGGTTGTGTTGGATTATGATGGGACGTGTCGGGGTACATTTAGATGTTTGGGGTGAGTGGGGGTGGTCAGGTAAATGGCGTGAGTAAAAGTCTGTAAGGGTATGAAAGGTATTGGGAAATATAAGGGTGTATACAAATATTGAAATGTCGATTTATAAAGGGACACCGAGACGACAACAATGACATTGATGATAATGTTTCTTAAATGCAATTATATATGTTTAAGAAAGGTATAGAAACTAACACACACATGTGCTATCTGGAAGTCTTACGTGAAAGTACCATTTTTGTTTTTCGAGAAAATCATAGAGAATTCGAATCCATTTGGTCAAAGTTCGAGTCTACTTGAACATACTGCTTTTATTTTTCGAAATGGTCATAGAGAGTTTGAAACTATAATCTACAGATTTGAACTTACTTATAAGATATTTAATCCCATTGCTAACTCCATTCATGCATTATTTTTCAACAACACTAAATCAAGACAACAATCAAATTCCACAAGCTTAATCTAGCATTAAGTTCTCTCAAATACACAAATGTACATATTCGTCTGTCTTAAATATAATTCTACATCCAGGAGATGCGGGAACAAACGCAGCAATTTGCGACCTCTTTATTGGACCACGCGCGCACGTCTTACGAATTGGAAGTAATGTTAAACTACAATCCTACTGGCGAGAATTGGGACCCTGGAGAGAGGCAGACCTTGGACCGGCTTAAACTAGCTATTAAATATAAGCAGAAACAAGTATGTAGTCTCGATAATACGTTTTGTATGTTTATATATATCTTGTATATTTTTATGAGATATAAAAATGTAAAAAACTGATAATAATAATAGTAATAATACTGGCAAAAAAGTGTGGCGCATATATGTATAGGTACTTACATTTATATGTATATATCTTCAATATTTAATAATACGTACTTAATTATGTGACATATGCAGAATATTTCCGTTCTGATTAATATACTTACTCGAATATTACCAGTACTTTTTAGAGATTAAATAGTATTAAAAGACAGATTTTTTTACATAAAAATATTTAATCTCGAACCATAGATTTAATGCAATTTCGAGATAAATTTAATTTTTTAAAATAAAATCAGTTTTATAAAGTGTTTGTGGCTTTTCTCATAACAAGTTTAATGATGTAAAGTCTATTCTAGATCAAACGACCTAACGCGAACATAACAAAGTCTCGACTTAGCTTTGTTTAGTATTATTTTGCAAGATTAATATTATTTCACCTATTATTTATATAGCAAGATATACACAACTGTCAAAATTATGCTATGACAGCCGCTCACGAAGTTAACGCAACGAGAGAACCAATCAGCATCGCAAAAAAAAGTCAACAATAAACTTCGAGACTTTCGAAAAGACTTCGAGAGATACGAGTATCGATTTAACATGCCTTTTTGCTTCCTCATAGAGGAAGCTTTGTTTTCATAAACTTCGTATATGGATCTTTGATCGCATATAAAGCTAGGTCTAATCAACCAAATTTTAAAAAATTATATATAAAAAAATAAGGATAGAAAAGACCAAAGAAAATATTGTTTTTCTAACGCGAGCGTGAATGGGCCGCTTTTCGCTCTTGTTTTGAGTGAGCAAAACGATCCATTTCTCCACTAGTTGAAAAATGGAGCCATTTCTCAACTAGTGGAGAGGTAATTATGCATAATAGCGACGTCCTCTCCGATGACCTTGACCTTGACATATGTTGTGAAGGTCACCTTACTGAGTGACCTTCAAAAGGTTTTAGCCGTCGGTCATTGTTTATTAAAAAGTTATAAACAAAAAAAGTTTGAAAAATATAGCAGTTATTTTGAGTTTTGGAAGGCATAAACGACTAATATAAACGTTTTTTTTTAAAGCAGAGAATACTTTATTTCGCGAGAAAGTTGCTGCTTTACCAAAATACAACATTTAAAGCAGTAAATTGTTGATAAATTGAAGTCTTTTTGTTAATGCAGTGAATTGAAACCGATTTCAATGACCTTGATATATATTGTCAAGGTCATGACCCCGAGTGACCTTCAGAAGGTTTTAGCCGTCGCTCGCTATTCGTTAAAAAGTTATTAACAAAAAAGTTTGGAAAATATAGCATATATAGGTGCATATATAGGTTAATTGACGCGCTTTAAACACTTAAATACTTTTAAAGCGCGTCAACTAATCTATGTAGGTTAGTGATCAACGATTTACTGCTTTAAATGTTGTGTTTTAGTAAAGCAGCGACTTTCTCGCGAAATAAAGTATTCTCTGCTTCAAAAAAAAGACGTTTATATTAGTCGTTTATGCCTTCCAAAACTCAAAATAGCTGCTATATTTTTCAAACTTTTTTTGTTTATAACTTTTTAATAAACAATGACCGACGGCTGAAACCTTTTGAAGGTCACTCAGTAGGGTGACCTTCACAACATATGTCAAGGTCAAGGTCATCGGAAAGGACGTCGCTATTATGCATAATTACCAGTGGAGAAATAAAATTGTAAAACAAGCGCGAAAAGCGGCCTGTTTCACGCTCTTGTTAGGAAAAATAGTATGAACAAATAGTATGAACAACTTGTGGGAAGAGTGGTCGAGCCCAAATGAGTGTGATGGTCGCACGAGCTTCGCGACCAACTTCACACTTATTTAGAATCGACCACTTTTCCCACTAGTTGTACAATATACTATTTTTTAGTTTTTGATGCCAATGTGTTCAGAATGTTCTAAAACGTCGGAAAATCGTAATTCTAAAAAATGTCCGTATGTGTATATGTATGTGTGTGTGTGTGTGTGTGTGTGTGTGTGTGTGTGTGCCAAATTTACCGAAACTTCTATAACTCAAAAACTGACTAATCAAATATTAAAGAATTATATATGAAATAGGGGTAGAAAAAACTGAAGAATATAATAGAATTAATAAAAATTGCTTATAATAAAGGAGTTACCGATTTCTATCTAAAAAAATCTACATGATGATTACTCTAATTTGCCAATTATAGCCGGATGAAAATGAAAAACTTAATTGTTTATTATATTGTTAGCAATTTACAAATGTGCTTTAGGTTTATTATACCTACACCGCGGCTGAATATCGATGTTTCCATCTTATTATTGTTTAGTGTGTTATTGTGATAAATTTTATTACATGCCTCAGTGGTCGAATTGGTACGACGCCCTACACGGAATGAGGGAGGTTTCAGGTTTGAACCCTGGCTGAGGTAATATTTTTCGCAATAAATTTAATAATTTAATTTAATTTAAATTATTTTAAAAATGAGATGCTTATATATAAGCATCAAAGATTATTAACGTCTTGACGAATACAGGACCAAAACCAATGGTTGAATCGTCACGATGATTATTTGCCAATTATAGCCGGATGAAAATGAAAAACTTAATTGATAATTATTTTAATTTCCGCAAATTTTGAGATATCAAGCTTCATTTTTTTTATGGATAAAGTATTATTAAAGGTAGGTTAGTGTTGAATTTGGCAATGATCGGTGAAGGGGTTACCGATTTTTGCCTAAAAAGTGTACAAGTTATACATGTAATCTTATATATAAAGTATCATTAAAAGAAGGTTGTTTTCAATTTGGCGAAGATTGATAAAAAGGTTTCTGCCTAAAAAATATATAAGGTAGACCGAGGCGAATCGGATTACTAATTAGCACGATAAAACAGCTCGTTTGAAACAAAACACTAACAAAAACTGAGACTTCCGGTTCCGGAGCGTTGATAGTGACAGGTGTGAAAATAGCAGAGATAAAGTAGTAGCGAAAGTGTGGTTCGGAAAGGATTGGAGGGGGCGAAAACAGCGGAGCGGGAAGGGGTGGAGGTGTGAGACGGCGGAGGCGAAAGAGTTGAGAGGGGGTGGAGTTGATAAGAAGGTGAAAAGATAAGGAAAAGTGACCGGAGAAAGGTGACGGTTGCGGCATAGACGAGAGGTAATATAGAGGGACGATAGAACGGAAGGCAGTGACACGCAAACGAACATAGGCTAGTTCGGATATAGAAGGGATAACTACTAAAAGTGCCATAGGATAAATAACGAGTAAGAGGGGTAGGCAAAGGTAAGTGCGGCGGATGGAGACAGGGAAGGAAATAGGAATAGGAATAGGAACAGAGAGTAAACAGCAGGAAGATAAAGAAAAGAAGAGAGAAGGCGAAGGGGAGAAGAAGGCAAGAGGCAGGCGTACAAAGGCAGAAGAGCTTGCCAAACAAAGAGGAAGAACGGACAGCCTAGGATCGGTCAAAGACTTCATTCTGAAAAGGAAAAGAAAAAAGTTAGAGGAAAAAGCGACTAGAACAGCAGAGAAAGAATAAATCCTCGATAAGTTTAACGAAGGACCAATAGATCACTGCGGCGAAGATTAAAAAAGGAAAAGAGGATAAAGGAAACATGGCGACAGAAGAGCTACTAAACGAAATACTAAGAAAAATGGAAGAACAAGAGAAAAAAAAAAAGAAAGAAAGATAAGGAGGAAATAAAAAACAAAATTAGGGGACTGAAGGAGGAACTGAAAAGGAGCGAGGAGATATGGGAGAAACAAAGAAAGGCGCTGGAAGGAAGAATTAAGAGTTTGGAAGAGAAGGTAGAGAAGATAGAGGTTAACTTCGTGGAGAGGAATGAGGGAGGGGAAGTAATAAGGAAAGTGAAGGAGATAGAAAGAAGTATGGAGATGGCGGAAAGAGGAAAGAGGAGAAATAACATAATTGTGAGAAAAGAGAAAATAGGAAGTGATAAGGAAAGAAAAGAAAAAATCGAAAATTTGATAGAAGAAATAAATAAAACGAAAGAGGCAATCGAGGAAGTACAAGAAATTGGCTATGGAGATATTAAGATGAAGATGTTGAGATGCAAAAACTGGGAAAGCAAAAGGGAGATAATGATAAGAAGGAGGGAACTAGGAAGGAAACATGGATGCTTCCTGGATGACGATCTTACCAAAAAAGAAAGACAGATGCAGAGAGAGATAAGAGGGATAGCAAAGGAGAAGAGGGAGACAGGAAAGAGAGTCACGGTCGGTTACCAAAAAATATGGGTGGATAATAAGGAATAGAGATGGAAAAAGTAAAGGAGAGCTAGAAGAGAGGACTGATTTTCGCAGACCAGAAAGAAAGGAAAAAGGATATAGAAATGAAGAGAGTGAGGAACGAGGGAAAAAGAGAGGAGACACAGATAGGAAGACAAGAAGGGATTAAGAAAATACAGAAAAGGCGGAACGCTACCGAAGAGATTGGAATGGGAGAAGAAGGTACAAAGGAGGGGGAAGAGGAAGTCGTTGGAGGAAACGATATAGGGGTGGGGGCCGAGGGATATGAAGAAGAAGAGGAAGGAAATGGCAGAGGGGGGGAAGAGACGAAGAGTGTGGCTTTCTGGAACGTAGCAGGTATAAAAAACAAGGATAAGGACTTCTGGGAGAGGATAAAGGAATGGGATGTAATGATGGAGACATGGTTGGATGATAAAGGATGGGAGAAAGAGAAAAAGAAGCTACCAAGAGAATATAAGTGGAGAGTACAGTTAGCGACCAGAAAGAACAGGAAAGGTAGAGCGTGCGGAAGAATGCTATTATGAATAAGGAAAAGCGTAGAGGAGGTAAAGGAAAGAAGGGAGATGGTAGAGGAAGAAGGAAAAATCGAAGGTAAGGTAAGAATAGGAGAGGAAATATGGAGAATAATAGGAATTTATGTAAACAACGATGTAGACAAAAAGTTAGAAAGTTTGAAGGAGTGGACGGAGGAGG